GCATTATATAATACTAATAGCGCTTGAATCCTTTACATCGTTATCCATGAAACGTTAAAGCATAAATCAACATTGCGTTGTATTGAAGAAATTTGCGATTTGTCAAAATTTACCCATACCTTTCAAATGTGCGCTCAGTGCAAAAATAACTTAAATATTTAAGAAAAACATCCTCTTTGCGCTTTCTGATACGATGTTTATCAACGTTCAAATATTTTCAGGCTGCTTGTTGACATTTTGAACTGTACACAATTCAATGCGCTGTTTCTAGATGTATAATATAAATAATTCTATAAAAATATGAATAAATTATAAATACAGAGATATTTTCATTCTTATTCAAAAGTTGCTTGATTAAAATTTTGTAAATACAGGTTGTTTCCATTCTTTTCAAACGTTGATTGGATACAAATTTATAAACATAGATAATTTCAGTCTTATTCAAAAGTTGCTTAATTTATAATTTTATAAATACAGATATTATCATTCCTATTTAATCGATTTATAAATTTATAAATGTAGATATTTTCATTCCTATTCAATTTGTTTTGCTTGAATTATTATATAAATATAATAGAGAGTTGCTGGAGTTTGATTGAGCTGAATTTTTTTTTTTATAATTGTACTATAAAATAATGAGTCGAACTAATTCTTCTACAATTGATTTCAAAGTAGCACAGTTGTTAATCAATTGATCAATACAGGTGTAGCAGTATAAAGTGAGCGTTTTTTGTGAAAATAAAACACCAATTTCTAATGGAAAAAGGAAAAAATATCCGCACATTGTCTTCTTGCCGAACACACAGCATTCAGTCTTCTTGCTGAATCGATCTGGCTTTGCAGTTTAATTAACCCATGATTTTTCTCGTTTACGATTCTTAACACTTTGCCGACCAGTCGGGGAGATCTCCCCATTTCAAAGTTAGTCGATGCCCGACCGATCGGAGAGAATCTCCCATTTTGACTGTAACAATGCACCTTAATTTGAAGTTCTTTACAATTACTGATGAACTGTTTCTATAAAGCATATATAATAAAATCAACCAATTTTCAAGACATAAAATGACATGTTTTAAACGATACTACACACTAAAATAATATTAAAAAACATTATTATTTTTTTCATTTCCTGTTTGGATCGTATTATTTGCCCTTAGTCATCTTTAATAGTCTTTATTTTCGATTTTATTACCTAAAGTTTTTGAACAACTTCCAAAAAATAATTGTTATAAACTTTTAATGTTTTGCTTCAATAATATGTGAAATCGTTAAACAAAATTTTTATCGTAAGCTATAATTGATCACAAAAATAAATTTCGGACTTTTTGATTTTAAATAGTAAATTTCAGTCCGTGTTACTTCAGAAAAATGCGCGGTAGAAACTGCACAGTTCGCTGCGCCGTAAGCGGTCGGCAAAGTGTTAAAATGGATCAAATTTTCATCGCCAGTAACGATGCAAAAAAGATTTTATTTCGTGTCTTTGAAGCAAAATTTCACAAGTGTTTTCGCCTTTCAATCAACATGTAGCACCCATTTTCCGGACATTTAGATTTTTGCCATAGCTTTAAGAAATTGTTGTTTGTTGTTGCCTTAAGAAATTGTTGTTTGTGCAACATAATATTTCTGCCGTTTGCTTTGGAGTCAAAGTGTCATCTTCATCAAATATAGCTTGCAACTAGACATCATCAAGCAGTCTTTCATGTTCGTCATTTCGTACGTGAAATCTTTTATTTCTGAACTGTTGAAACCATCTTTTGGATCTTGCTCCTGATAGAGATCAAGAGCATCGCCGTGGTTCAACAAGCATTTGATGTGACTCTGCAGTACTTTTATTCAAATGAAAACAAAACATTAATGCTTTCCGAAAATCATCACTATTCTGTAAAATTAATAAAATGAGTATAAAATTCGGCATATTAATTTGTTCTGATTCTTCAAATTTACCTCAATGTCAGCGGAAATTGCAATAAAAAATATTGCGGTCTTCATTTATTTCGCACAAGACCGCGAAAAATTCGTGCGTAAACCGGAGGGTGATGAAAAAATAAATAGTGACATATCTGATTACTGATTAAGAATGTTAATTTAAGAAGTCAAGTGTATATTTAAGAAAAAACTTATTGGTCTTGATAAAATCAATTTTGACCATAATTTCATTTTTGAATTTGTACATAATATAAATTACATTTATTTTTAGTTTTCACGTTAAGCTTATGAAATTACTTGCACACCCGCCATAACATTCTTTGCCTTCGCCTGGTGAGGGCTTATGCTGGACAGAATCGTCTGACATTGCAGATACCGCATCGAAAAATACATATATAAATTTTAAGCTTATATGAAAAAGTTTGTAACTGCAAATATAACTTGCTCATGAAAATTAACCTTTTGGCTCGTCTGACAGAAACTTGTGCAGGTTGAAATCGTCTGGCAATTTGATTTTCAGACTTCGCAATGAATAAACTAAATTGTATAAAAATTTAAAGCTCACAGGAACAAGTTTAATTTTCGGATGTTTTTTACACTTTCAAACGCCTCGGCGACCATGGTGAGCAGGGCTAAATCCGGCCACACCATGGTTTTCGTATTAGTACTCTAAGAATCACCAGTAAAAAAGTTTTTAGCCTTACAGAAACACTGTTATTCAAAAGGTTAACTAGCTCTTCGTCCAATTCGTAGTGCACATTAATCCTTTCCACTCGTATGTCTCCTCTCAGCACCACAGCGTATATAAGACTACAGAAATTAATTCCGTGTAGTACGATATTCATCTCAAATTTAATTCGAGAGCAAAGGCTTAAACAATTATTACATTATTCGCAAATTTAAAATTATTTCAATTATCTTATACAATGTTTTTTGTATTTCTAATTTTAGTTTTATATGTTTGAATCATTAGTCTTCATGATTGCAGAAATACATTTTTGCTTTTAAGAGTTAATTTAAACTAAAACTGTAACGAAATATTCCAGTAAATTATGTAGATCTGTTTTTGCCCAAACGCGTGTTAAAAATATAAAAATTACTTCAATATTTAATATTTTCAGATTTTTCTACGCTTGCTATTGACTACAGATATAGTTGTAAAATTATTCTCATAATTAAATAGGATACAAATGTTATGAAATAGAAATTCAAAAAATAATATTTATAAATAATGCTAAACGTATATTATTCAAGAAAATTTATTAAAATAATTTTCGATTACATTTTAACTTATTTTAATGCATGTTTCAATTTGAATCAATAAATTGAAATAAATTTATCACTGATCCTCCGAATATATGCATGCTTTAAATGTCGATAATAATAATTAAAGCTTTACATTATGAAACCTTTTCAAAACGAGTTTCAAGAAAATCATAATTTTCTCGTTTTATCAAAAAATAACGATATTATTAAAACATAATATAATTTACATATTTGATAAAATGTACTCTATTTGAAACCGTTTTCCATTTATATTTTACACAACTATTTTATTTTGCTATTAATACATTGATAATATTAGTTTTTAAATATTATATATCACAAAAACAAATATAAGATGGAGTATGATCTTAATTTCATTCTTAAAGCTAACCTCAAGTAAAAGGTTATTTTGACACATTATTTCGTTTGTGTCGATCAAAGAAATATTTTGATGAAACAAAAGAAAATGTTGCATATTTAATTTGCATTCCTATAGAAATTTCATGATTTGCTATTAATCTCATATTTTAGAACACATATAATTCCAAATCCGTTAATTCTCAAAATCTGAATATTATGTACTCTATTTGAAACCGTTTTCCATTTATATTTTACACAACTATTTTATTTTGCTATTAACCATTAATATTATATAGCCTTTTTTAAGAGTCCGATTTTGCAAAAGGCCAATTTGACAGTAATCAAATTCTTACAATCTCAAAATTCCCAAAAAGACCAGTTTCAAAATTTATATACTCCAATCATAATGTTAAGATTGCGCAACTACATTTGGAAAATATTTTGTTCAAAACAATAAGATCAAGGTTGAATTGTTATTACTTAAACAGATGTAGCAGAAATAAAGATTAATAAATTATTATAATAAATAAAATTACAGCTAATTATGATAATAAAAACTCTCATAATATATAGACAATTCGCATGTGTGAAGCCAAATTTAAACCTTCCGATTAATTTATATTTTACAAACTATACTTGAAAAAAGCACAAACGTTTCATACTGACTGAGATAGGTCTTCTACAATCCAAATTGAAAAATAAACGATCAAATTTGTGAACCTCACGATGAATTATATTAGTTTAAAATTAAAAAAATAAAGAAATTCGTATCTCCGTTAAAATATCATATCAGTCCATCATTCATATCAGTCGAAGCTTACACTGTATCCTTTGAAGCATATAAAGTTCAATCGTGATATGCGTACAAAGATCGAAACTACTAGGTATACACGTTCAAAGCACATATTATTGCGACCATAAACCTATATTTCTTGACTTAAACTGAAGATCATGCGCCCATTTATTTTAGAGCACCATGCTAAGTCAATACTTACAGAAGAATAATTACAAACAAAATCAACCTAATTATTACCTATATTCTAAAGATGTCGTTTTTTTTCAAAATAGGATGGTAATCATCTCATAATTAATCATTGATGATTTGATCTATATCTATCTGAATAAATAAAATTTTCAAATTACGTGCGACCGTCTGAACGGATTTGGATAATTCATTTACTAAATGTGAGAGTAGTGACATCATTAGAAGAATAGGTAAGGTTGTTTGGCACGTCGTTTAATTGTTTTTGCATTAAAAATAGGTTTGGTAGAAATGGTCTACAATAAACTACAGCAGGTTCTGCGGTAAAGTTAGCACTTTTTGATAACTGTGGTCCAGTGAAATAAGTCTATTAGTGCAGTACACGGAGAGGAAAAAAGGGTATAACCTCTGAATTTTTTTACTGTGCTCCGAATTGAATAAAATTTTGGAATTAGGTTCATCTTACCCTCAAGTTCAAAGACTGCGCGGCCGCGCAAATTGGAAAAGAAAGTTTTTATAAAATTGTGAGTTTTCTGAAAATAGTTTGTACTAATGAAGTGAATCTGGTAGAATCCATTAATATGTCTATAATGAAGTGAATTCTAGATGGAATGTGAATTACTTTAATCCTGGTGGAAATGGCCCTCATTAAACCATATGATTGAAAAGAAAAAAACTTCGTATATGCTTCTTATTTGCATGATAACTCACTCATTTTACACGCAAAAAACTTGTCACTTATGTTGAGCACTATAAAACCCAATTTCACTGAAATGCATAAAATGTAAAACTTCGACACTAGATGGCTTTAAATACAACAATTAAATCTTGAACGAAATAAAAAACAAATTTGCTCTTTCAAATCTTGCTTAATATTTTTCCTAGAACACTTTATGTAATACCGATTTATTAAGATTTTTATTGACATTTTGTTCATTACATGATTTTTGTTAAAATGTATATTTTAGGAGATATTTGCAAAACAACGAAGAAAAACACAACATTAAAAATATTTGAATGTTTAGTGGCCAGTAACTTGAAAAGTATTAGTTTTTTTTGAAAAACTATAAAATACATTTTTTTCTTATAATTAGTTCTTCTATCGATTTTTGGCGTTATTTTGAAAAAATGTAATTACACAATTGAGAAGGGGTGTCATCCCTCCGGAGGGTGATGGCGCAACCCGAATTGTTTTCACTTTTGAACTTGAGGGTAAGATGAACCTAATTCCAAAATTTCATTCAATTCGGAGCACAGTAAAAAAATTCAGACCTAAAACGCTCCGTTTACTGCACTATATCCTTTACCTGTCTATCCTTTAAGTCTATACCTTGCTGCAAAACAACGAGAGCGGTATATCAAAATGTGTCGACTCTAAATCGAGCAAATAATAATCTCTATAATTTTTAATATCGCAAGTTGGTCGTAGTTCACTGTTTCAGCATCAACAATTCGGCATGTTTGATGCGCAGATGAGCCCTCAGAGTGTCTATCCGGCTGTAACTAGCCGGACAGTAGGGGCACGGCGACCTCTGCGCCGTGTGACTGTGGTAATGGTGCCAGCGGTTGGAGACCTCCTTGCCGCAACTGCGGCACTTCCACAATGCCGAAAGCTCCCGAGTCGGAAGAAACATGCTGTGATAAGACATTGGGATGCCTACACCGAAACAGCTGCCTGAAAAATAAGAATACACAATACACAAACACAATATACGTGTATATTTTAATTTATATATATATATATATATATATATATATATATAATATATATGCAGTGATGTCTATCCGGAACGTTCCGGTACTGTTTGGGACAGGAGTGCGTTCCGAAACTAAAGATGATTTCTAATACGAGAATAAGAAAAAAAAAGAATAAAAAGAATTGCTGATTTTTGACGATTTTTTATATGTATTGTATTATATATATATATATATATATATATATATATATATATATATAATAAGTCGGGTTTTCCTTCCTGACGATATAACTCCAGAACGCACGATCATTCCAGTAATGACTTGGTTGGTTAAGTCAACGAGCAACTCTTGCTGCAAAAAGAATAATGAAGTACACGCACTGAATTTCACCATTCAATCAAAAATTGCTGGCGATTTGGTGACATACCAATGATTCCTACTGGTCTTCCGTTTGACTTAAAACGATTGCAATTTTCAGTTCGCCTTGCGTTCGCAATGACAAATAGCAAGTCGCAAGGCCAATCGCTTAGTGTTTGCGGGATAAATTTCAAATAAATTATTTAGAAAATCATTGTTCTTCACATGAGCAGTTACACGTTGCCTGTTCACGAGTTGGGAAACCATCCGCTTTGTTTCTGTTAACGTCAGACCAAAAAACAAAAAATGTGGTTTACTAAAGAGCACTTCAATGAAACAGATAATTTGCGGATTCATTTTCATTTACTTAGAGAAAATTAAATTCAATTTCAATTTCAATTAAAATTAAGTTCAATTAAAAAACAATACATTTTTGTAATCGATATAAATTCTTTACTGTTGTATAATAAAATCAAGTTTTTCCTTTTCAAATATAAAACAAACAAAAAATTTCTTCATTTTTCTCAACCATCTGGTGGCGAAACAGAGTTCGTTGGGTTTACTAGTGTATTATAAACAAGGTTTTGAATTTCCGAAACCGTGAACTAGAGTCCGGAACGTTTTCTTTTCGCAGAATTGGAATTTGAACCGAACCCATACAAATACTGAACCGGGTTTTGAACCGGTTTTTAAATCTTGGCGTTTCGGTAAAAAAATAGCACAACACTATATATATATATATATATATATATATATATATATATATATATATATATATATATAATGCGAATAGAATAAACAAACGTAACGATTTTTTTTATTTTATATGCCTCATTGAAATTATCGGTAACTGTTACTTCCTATAGTGTAAATTATAGTAAACGTCCGAAAATCAAAAACAATTTTTTACCGTAGAAAAAACTGATGTGTATGCGTTTCGTGCGGACACAGTTTTGACGATTTCGTGCACACGGATCAACCGTTTTAAATTATTCAGAAAAACATTCGGTCCCACTGATAAGCTCATTAGCTTGACAAAGAAAGACAGGTTTAACCGGTTCGGAGATATAGAGCAAAAAGTGAAGAAAATGGAAATTCAAATTTTGCGAGAACGGTGTATCCAATTAGATTGATTTAAAAAGCATTGCGGCAAGTCATGAACCACTAGTTTGTGAGCTGTTTTCTTTAAGCGGTACAGTCCATTTTTTCATATACGTAATACGATATTGAAAGGTTTTCTTGTATATTTTTAATTTTATTTCAAAATAGAACTCGATTTATTTTGTGATTGTAACTATAAAGAAAACGTGTAAGTAGCTCTTTTTAGTTAAATTCGAATTCATAGCACTGTATATTGTCCGCCCGAAGACAAATCAATGATTTTCTTTCATTAACTTGTTTATTCTTTCTATTACCACTTCTTATTTATACACTTTTATGCATTTTTATTTCTTAACTTCTGCTTCCACGCTTCCTGATCCTAAGCTTCCGCTTTCATTCTTCTCGCGTAAGTCATCAATCATCTACATTCTTCTTCTTCCAAATCCTTTTAGTCCTTTTATGTTACCTTCGACGGTGTCATTAAGACGCACCCATTTTGCAGAATAGGTCTGATCCAGTTACCTTTCTTTTTTAATCAGCGAGTCATCAGCGAGAATGTTCTGCACGAGGTTTTCTTGCAAAATAGGTTTCTTCTAATACAATTATATGTTTTTTTCGTAATTATATTCAGCTATCATATTTCGGCTTATGTTGCGGTCAAAAACTATTATTATTACAGTAATTAATTACAAAACTCTTCAGTGTATACAGAGATGTAAAAGACTATTTTCTTTAGTAAAAACAGTTTTATTTCAGTTGTTAAATAAATATTTTACCTCAACCAAATTTTGCATAGAATACAAAGGTCAATCTTACAAAAAATCAGGTATACTTTCCAAATACAGTAATTTTTAATTTTTGTTAATATTATTATTTCATTATGCATAACAAGGTTAAGTCGTATGCAAATAGAGGAATATATATATATATATATATATATATATATATATATATATATGTATATAAATTTACATATGAATATCTAAATACATATATTTGTGGTAGTAAGCAGAACTTCAATTCGATATATTTGAATTTTTAGCTAACTTTTAGTACAAGATGCAATTACAGTCTTAATCCCAAAAAATAAATCAGAAACATTTATGATAATTTCAATTAATTAAGATCAAGAGTTCTATTAAATCCAAAAAATAATCTTGTAATAAAACCCGAATTTGTTTCAATACGATTTTTTGACTGAAGGTTAAATAAATACAACTGGAAGACTTGCAATTACCTCCAATTCATAAACAATGGCTAAATAACCGTTTGCAAAGTGATAAATTGATTGGTAAAGATTATGTAACACATAATTTTGCAAATGCTGAAATTAAAGTAACAATGAATAAGTCAAAAGCGTGAAAATCCGTATTCACCTAGAAATTTACTAAAAATATTCCTTAAAATATGCTTTTACAAAACTATTAATTTAGAGATAATAGGAGACAAAGATGTGTAATCACATACAAAGATATATATATATATATATATATATATATATATATATATACTCGTATATATGTTTGTGGATAGAGGAAAAGTTTTTCTGAATAGTTATTATTTATGATTATTAAATTTTCGATCTATTAAACAAATTTTTTTCCAAAAAAAAATATTTACTTTTCAATTATTTTATTAAATGTTTTGGGAATATGGAATTTTGCCCTTTTTATGCAACGTTTCCGTTGTATTTTCAAACGTAGTTTTTGATGCGTTTTGATGTATGTTGAGTGTTTGATTTCGAAAATGTTTATTTATAAAGGCAAAAAGTCTTTCAATTTTAAAATAATAAAAAGTGTAGAATAAAAATAGTATTAATAGTTCCTGAAGAAGGGAGAGATCTCATATCACCAAAACGTTGAATAACAATTAAAATTAAATATTTTTTTATAAAAAAAGAAGACTTTTAGTTAAAAAATTTGATAATCATATATATATATATATATATATATATATATATAAATTAATAACCCAATGATTACATTGAATAATTTTCTAGGTACATTATTGCGTTTTCAATTCTACTTTAAGCATTGTTCTTTAGTAAAGTATTTTCAATAAATCAATAACAATTCGAACGTAATATGAATAATTAACAGTAATATTATCACACTAGTTTTACAAACATCAAAATATTTGTTTGGACAAAAAAAAAACATATTTCCTAAATGCATATTAACTTAATTTTGTAAACGCATTTATATTTTTTGCCGACCAAAAAATGGCAATATCTATCATAATCTATCATAAATAACATAAATCTATCATAAATAACATAAATATTAATTAGGATTCAATTTTTTTCAATGTTTGTAAAAACTGTGCAGAGTAATATATATATATATATATATATATATATATATATATATATATATATATTAGAAAGTTATAATAATGTAATCATTGTTTTATTTTATAATTATTAAGTCAACTGATTTCATGCCTCATTACAAAGTCACGTCTGTAAATCACTACACAAATATATGCTATATATATGGTAAGTGCTCTGAACAAAGCTAAATGCAATGTTTGAAAACATTATTTTATCCGGTTCTCTCTCTTGTGTATATACATATGTTATTTTGTCTTCTATGTTGTCCATGTATATAATTATAAACATCATACATTTCTATACTGCAAAATAAAAAAAGGAACTCGTAAAATAACTCGATTGGACCCATTTGATAAAGAGTGTGTGCACTTCACGAAGCTAAAAATACTGAGAGATATGGGTATGAATAATCAACTCCCTGCGAAGCACAAATATAGTTAAGACATGAGACAGGGAAACATAGAAAAAACTTATTTATGTATATAAGAGGTATAAAATATTGCTTTCACTCCAAGGAATTACACACTTAGGGCAGAGCACTTACTATTATAAATATAAATCATATACATGTATATATACATGTATACATATATATATATATATATATATATATATATATATATATATATTATATTTCAAAATAAAGTCATATTTCATATATTTACCCACATATTATGTACTTATATACACATATATATTTATTTATAAAAATTAAATAACTAGTCAATATTGCACGAGGTTTAAAAACATTTTTTGGGTTTAGCACCATTCCAATTTCTTATCACATACCTTGTTTTCATTTTATTTTAACAAATTAAAAATCCTTCACTATATAAGATGCCTGAATACAGCATCTACAAGGCCATCTTTTTATCTTGTGCTATATTACAGTTATTTTCTAAACTCACAAGTCTTGAGGGGTCGTAAGCAATTAAGAACCCCTCTTGCTTATGTAACAACAGCTATCACCAGATGTTTTCAATATGTGGTATATTTATACCTAATCTAAGCACCTAACTACAATTAATTTTAATTTTTTTCTAATTTATTATTGTTAGTATCAGTAATAATGCCAATTATAACATTAAAACATAGTTCATAGAACATTATTCGAATTAAAACAAAATGATTTCATAGCCTAATTCAAAAATCATTTAACATATGGAGTCAGAAGTAGTACGCAAAATTACT